TGAAGAGTCCTTGTGCAAGAGACCGAACCCCAGGGTGCCAACCAGTGTACCCATCGGTGTGCAAATTAGTTTAATCAGTTACAAGTACAGTCCATTTACATTTGATTTGTGTCACACAGCTCATACCTTCATATTCACCTTAAATAATTAGAAATTGACGAATAACAAAGTTTCAATTTTGTTTTATTTGATAAAACTGTTGTACAATAACTCAAATAGCTTCATAATATACATTTTTTTAATTATTTCCTTCATTTCTATTAAAGATTTTTTCCTTCATTAATAAAATTATGGAGAAAAATATAGTATTAGGAAGATGTAGCAAAACTCTCCAAAGTTTTCTGCTTTCAAGAGTTAACTAATATGATGATTGGTTGCTTTGTTCTTTGTCATCATTAAACAAAGTGAGCCTTACTTTTTTTAAATACAGTTTATAAATACCTTCTAAGTCATATAAAAATTAAAGTTCATCAGAAGGTTTCAGGTTTACACCATATGGTTTTGTTGTTCTTTACAGTAAAACTAGACTTTGTAATGATATTTCGCAGAGTCTTCAGCAAAGAAATTATTGCTGGCTTGACAGTAACCATGACAACAACACCATGCAGGATGCCGTGATGAGGCTGATCTTGTGGCTTGCTCCACTTGACATTTCTGTAAATTTAAAAGAGATCAGGGAAGGCATTTTAAAAAAAAAAAGGCCTTTGACATACTAAAATTTTGATCAAATTCAGTGCAATGAATGAATATCTAATTTTACTCACGTGAGCCCTCCACAAAAATAGAATTGACATCAATGTTGAAGGCCGTGACATTTGGAGATGCAGTTGTCAATACTTTCGCTATCTCAGTGTTGTTTGGAATGGATACTAATGCAAACGTTAGGTCCATGTTGTTGATGATAGATCCATTGCTACAAAAGAAGTCAAATTTTGATTAATTTGTCTTAATATTATGATTTCAGCAGACCATATCGGTTCATAAATTACCTGAATGAAACCACAGTCAAAGAGCGTAATGAAGGGAATGGTCGTCGGAATAAAGGTTCAAGCTGCAGAGAGAAAGAAACAATATAAAGGAGTCTTTATGCTGCATTTTAAACTGAACAACAATGCAGTATGGACATTTTGTAGAACAACATGGACTCTGAAAAAATTAAATAACATACAGTTGACTGAATCAGTTCAGCTCTTCTTCTAAATGCTGCAGATGATGGATTCAGCAGGTCAGATGTGAATGTTTCT